ATTGATATTCAAAGTCATGTTACACAAGACAATTCACGGCCATGCAGGCCTTGGCTCAACCTTGGCTTTACGTTATAGTATTAAAATTTCGACCATATATTTATAAATAAATATTAATAAGAATCTAACAGTTGTGTTTTTAATTTAATAAAGCGTATTTTATGTGTTTTATTTTTTACATTTATATTTTATGTTATAGATTTAGACTTATTTTGCCTTTCCCTTTGAAGAGGAGAGTTGGATTGTATGTCTGACACAGCACAGACGTGATCGATCATTGTCCATTGACATGTTAAAGCGTAAGGCCGGATTTCAACAGTTGTGTTTTAGTAACTGTTATTAAATTAAAAAGAAGTGATTTTATAACTGGGAAAATCAAGGAAAAAGTTAAATTGGACGGCTGTCCGAGAATATCATATATGTGGAAAACAACTCGTTAATCATTGATTTCTTTTGAATTTTCTTCATGAGTTTTACAAGACAGTTAACTGAAAATCTAAAGTCACTGTTTACCGAAATCCGAATCAGTATTGTAATAACCTAGACTGTGATTAATCAGTATAGGTGCTCTAATTTAGGGTTATATCACTGTTGTGGGCGCGTTATCACCCGCAGAGATATTAATCGTTTGTGGAATTACAACACAGTTAGAAGAAACAAAGACCTTTATTAGACCTACAGTCTATTAATATTATCATGACAAAACAGTTTGAAACAATTAGTACTACAGTTTGTGGTATTGATAAAACCTTTACCATATTCAACAGTATATACTTAATTTGTAGTTTAATACTTCGTGAAAGAAGGTCCGTGCATGGTGAAACCGGTTCCGATGCGCACCATGTGAAAATGTACATATAAAATCATCATCGAATGATATACTGAGTCATTGGAAGTGTTGAGACCGAATAATTAAGAACGCTATTAATATATTCGACTTCGTTTATATTTAGTTGCCACAAACATGTACACGGTGTGTGTTATGTGCAATAATGCTTTTTCCAAACTAAATTTGACATTCAATATTCTCATTGATCGATGGGGTATAGGGGGCGGGCCGGCTTTGCCCCAGATATAATTTTGAACGATTGAAAGGAAAGAAACTTTATTCAAACAAATACCAATATTGGTGCATTGAATACCTACATATACTATAGTTATAAAATATAAAAAAGACATTACAGTATACAAACTTACAAATAATTTGTTCAGACTAACTCATGCAATATATCAAAAGTTCTTAGATGTTCGTAGCAATATTTTGAAGATAATTTCAGAATATTTCTATCTCTCATACTTAGTATATATTGGAACAAACTTTGTGTATCAAAATATTTAAATGATTGGTTAATTTTATAAGGCCTTCCTTAATTGTGTCGATCAATGCTTTAATTATATAAGTGAATTAAGTAGGAGATAGCATGTTGAATATTTAATTACCTGCAGAGGCTGCACTCTCAAACAAAGTTATATTGTTTCTCGCTTTAAGCAAGAATATTAGTGAATATAGAAATGGGCTGAGATATAGTTCAATATAAGATGAAGTTCAAATATAGACTGTAATTCATGGTGAAGAAGATGTTTTGAAATAGTTATATATAAGTTTTTACCCTCGTTCTGCGGTATTGTCTCCTTGACCCTCGAGAATTCGATGAATCGTCGACCTAGCCTGTCATAACACAAGGTCGTATAAACAAACACCAGCCTGATGAAAACTATATAGTTGCAGTAAGTTACATATTCAAAAATATTTTTTGTTGTATGGTTATAGGGACCAGGTTTGGTGTAAATGTCATATTAGCACTGGTTTATCACCACTGACGCACAGGAAACCGAGACAAATTCGAGAAATACGATTGCGAAATCGATGTTAATCAGTGGGTTTCCCTGCGTCGATGACGTACCTACCATTGGCGGTTCTGATTGGATGATGTCGGCCCCATGGTAAAATGTCGACCTTTACGATAACGTCATTTAATGACAGCACATTATCGAGAGGGAAGGTAGTTTATTCCACAGTATCGACGGTCAAATGTACGGACGGACGGCGTAATTTGGTTATTTCAGTATTTTTTTGGTTTCGTCATACAGTATCAAAATATCCAAAAGAAGACAAGATGAACAAGTGTATCAAAGGAAAGCAATTTTGGTGCGAGGAATGTATTCATGACCAGGGTACTTGCGTGGCGTGTCCCCAAAATTTGAGAAGTTGTTATAATGAGGATATAGCTAACCAAAAACGGTGTGTGGATTCATGCCGGAAAGGTAAGCCTCGATATATCACCGTCGTCAATTACTATATCATTTATCACTTATGAGTTATGCCTCTTGAATTTGCTTGTGTCTTGATTTTGTATTGTGTACAGTATTATTATGTTTTGAATAAATCTATACGTTTGTCTTTGTGGTAGATTCTTGCTAGTCTTACCATGAAAATGTAAAAATAATTGTAGCTAATTGTCAAGACGATTCATGCCTTGTATTGAGTATTGACTTTTATGAATGTGGCCCTTAATAATAACTATGATATTGTTTCAGTTTGACTGCCATGGTAATATCAGTCATGGTACTGTGGTCATCGACGAGGTCATCGAACTCTTATTTGTAGATATATTTATATATAACTTATACAAAGCGTTTGGAATAGAAACTTTGTGAATGTTGGCCATTTTAAAGTAAAACGTTATTTAAAACAGAGTGTTATCTAACAAGAAATTAATACTCCTTTCACCATCACTCTTCGTATTTTTATATGCCGACTAAATACGCGCTAGGGACAAACAAGTGTCAAATCCACGCGGCAGTGATATGGTATTTAACGCCCATTCTAATGAGTGATTAATACATATTGTTTCAACATATTGCAATTTTCAAGACACATCGATGGCTCTGGGTTTTATATCAAATATTCAAATTTATATCTAACTTCGCTTAGTCGAAGCCAAGCAATGCCGCCGATGTGGCAATGAGGCAATTAATGCGTGGGTAGGCCTTATATGATCTTATAAATGCCTATAAAATGGCAACACTCGTATAGGTTTTTCATATTTAGGCGGCTCAGAATTGGCCGCGGCTTGACCTTATACCAATGATACAATTTCTGCACCGCAATATATCGGCATGCTAATAACTCATAACTGTAGACTGTAGTGAATCTAATCTGCAGGTGGTCGATGATTTTGAATATTTAATAACAAATGTAATACATTTTTCAACAGTTTATGTGCCTGCCTTATAAATGTTTCAAATTTTGGCGACTTTTCGCAGTCAAAGTAGTCAACCAAACTATCAAAATGGTTCCAATTTAATTAACTTATCACCACCACAAAAACACGTATAGTTAATATACTGCAGTAATACAACACTCAATAACCCTGCCTTGTCTGATTACTGTGATACGGTGTTATCATGTGGTTTAAACAAATGTTCGTGTTTTCTATTAAAACAATGAGTAACGTAAACATATACTAACAAAGATTCTCCCCAATCAATAACGCCATAGATATATAACTTTTACTGCATGTGTGTAAAGGCTATTCAAAGTGTCAAGTTCACGCATATTAATGTATTAAATTACCGTACGGTTTATGGTACGTTTTTTAATTTTTTAATTCGAAAATTAGTTTCAATTTTCATATAATAATCGAAATGACTTTGTGGTTCGCTGATAAAAGCATTACGTTGCAATAGATGTACCATTTTTTTGTGTAACTTCGTTTTGTCGCAACTATATAATATTTATGTTTCAAGTTGGGCCATAAATGTTAATGTTGTTATCCTAGCTTAGATTTATTCGATTGATCTTAAGTTTATCGTTTGACTTCCTCCCCTCATCACACGTAAGATAAACTGATTACATTGTGCCTTGACAGTCTTGTGGTTGCGATTTTTAGGGGTCAAAAAAATTGCAACAATTGCGTCATCAAATTTTGGATTCATACTTTTATATACTGAGTAATATCACGGTGTATTAAGACTATTAATATTCAGTACTCAAAGATGCTATTCTGGTATCTTAGCTGATAAGTGTCCTATTTGGTTTTGAAATTCTATTTAAAATTTCGACACAGAAGCGTACGTGAAGGTATGCATGGCAAAATTAAGAAATATGCCAAGCTAAGCATGTTTTTTTTTGCTGAGTTGAAAATACGACACCACGGCCGAGCACGGGCCACATGCTGTGATATGTTCTATATAATTATTTTTTACCAATTTTGGCAAAATCGAGGCATGCTTTTTTCAGAATTAAATGTTTGGGTGTTTTCATAAAAAAAAACATACGTTGACGCGCACAGTCAAGGATGATCATGAAGCACCGCGCAATGACCAGAAACAGAATACTTGTATAATTTGCCACTGGTTAATCTGAATCCTATTGAACTTTAATCTGAATAGCATTAAACTAACTAAACTGTGCCCATCATGTGAAGTTCTCACTTGAAATTCTGAATTGTTCAATACTAATTTGTATACTTCGTCTTTTAGCAAAACCCAAGCCGACAAAGAAGGCACCAACATCAATAGTCCCCACTACACCAACGTCTTCGGCATTTTCCCCTTCTGGCCTTTTTCCCACTCCCTCCATACTTGTGGGATATCGTTCAGCATTACATCCAGGTGAAGCAAAGAAAGATGAACCGCGTCTAGCTGGTAATAACGGAGACCATCACATAAACGTAGGGCTTATCGTTGCGGTATCAGTTCTTTCCGTCTTCGCTGTGTTAACCTGCATAGTTGTATCACTGGTGCTTCTGAGTCGTAGGAACCGGGAAAGATCGCGACGAAATCGAAATCGGGATGAAACTGAAGGAGGAGCTGAGGAGCGTATAGATCTAAATGTAACGTACGAGATAGAAGAGAATTCACCAGCAAATGATGGGGGAATGGATTTACAGCCGAATGATGAAGAACAGCGATTTCAGGCAAATGGTGTAGAAGAAGGTCAAGCTTCTCAGGAGACCCAGCCTGCTGTTTATGCTACCCCTCCTTGTAGTATTAGAGTTTTCGGGTAAGTATATGTGTATTTAAAATCCTACAACTGTTTTAACTTCTTGTTCTCCACCCTCTCTTTTTTCCCTTTTCTGCCCCCTACCCCCCCCCAAAAAAACCCCAACAACAACAACAACAACAACAACAACAACAACAACAACAACAACAACAACAACAACAACAACAACAACAACAACAAAAGCATTCAGAGAGTTTTCAATCTTTTTCAGCTAGTTGACTAGAGCTGAAGAAGATTAAATACTAAAATATTTTTTAAGTTTACTTAACACTGCCTTATGTGGGTGTTAAGCCAACTAATATATGCTCACTCTCTTCACATGATTGAGCGGAACGGCTTGTCATGGGTCAATCATTTTTATATCCTTTCTATTTAATTGCCTGAATCGTTTCAACAATGGAATGCAAAAAGTCAGGCTTAATTGCCAAATAGTGACCTTCGACGGACTGGGGGCAAAGCGCGTTCATATCCACTTTTCCCCAATAATATATAAAATGCCAACTTACAAGAAATCCAAGTAAAATTGTAGTAATATACGACTATGAACCCAGGCCAGAGTATTTGGATTTTCAGTCTAGGAATTTGTAATAAACTAAAGTTAATCCCTTGGCTAGTTGGCTTTGCTGATCCTTTAATCCTTTGTTAATCCTTTGCTTTAAAGAACCCAAGAAACCGAAGAGGACAATTGTTCATCTTGTTTGCACCTCAATGAAGTTCATAACTGAGAGGATGAAAAAGGTGTACCGAAGATTTTTGTTGTATTTATTTATTTACCTTCCCTGTGTTTACTGAGCTGAAGTAAACACATGTAAGGTAAGTAATTATATACGCATATTAGTATGGTGAAGATGCAATTCGGTAAATTAGAAGGCTGGTGTTACACTCTCGAAGTTTCTGTGATCAGAGTAGGATTATTGCATATAGGTATATTATACTAGTCTTTAACAGATGTTTGAGGGAACTCACTCAGTGTTTACTGTAACACTTTTTTAAATTAACATTTCTAACAAATCCTTCAAGACTTTACCTATGCAAATCACAGAAACTTTGATAGTGTAAACCAGTCTTATAAAGCTTTTAGATTAAATAATCAGTTTGATATTTATAAACCATATAAGCCTTATATTTACTACATATAGCATAAAATGCAGGGCATAATATATTCAGTTCGTTTATTAAATAATATTTAAATAAAACAGTAATGTAATAGAAGATAATGTAGAAAAGATAAAAACATATAGATATTTATTCTGGAGAATAAATAAATAAAATGTACTATATTTATAGAAATACGCTGAACGATTATCTGAGTGATTCATAACTTTGACTTCATTTTTGACTCACCTGTGAGTCTTTGTGGTTACAATGCGAAATGACCAGTTTGCGTTACGCGCACTGTTTGCCTGGAATCGGGCCTTTCAGAACCGGAAATCGGGCTGCAGCACGCGTTCGTTCTTTTGATTTGGCAAAAGAAGCACAACAAATGATTGAAATGGCAAAATTCGCACGGTGCTCGGTTTGCAAAAACAACTGCAAACTGCTCTAACTAATACTTTCTGTCACTTTCATTTGATCTTATCCGTGAGTCGCGGCTTCAACGGCCTTTGATTGTTAATTCAACTTTTTTTATAATCTTCTTCCTGTCTTAGTTTAGTTTGTATTTTTATCCTCTAAAAAAAGGTTGTCAAGTTACCCAAGTGCAAGTCAATGACAATGCAAATTTATATTTGCGGGGGTCAAGAGAGGTTAGAGGCTCGCTTCTCTGGCAGCTTTCCAGTCGGAAGTTTTTCCCATTTAAAATCTTTTCAAATGTGACCTACGAAATAACTAACTATACCACCTATACGAGATTACTTTTACATTCAATATTTTAAGTCGTTAGTCGGTGTGTAACAGCGTGTATGGGGCAGTGACGGCTATGTCACAATCTGATGGTTTGTTTCATACCTAATTTTAAGAATTTTTTATCACTGCACATTTTATGCCAAAAATTTCCGAATGACTAAGAAAATTTCCGAATATTCGGAAATTTTTGGCGCCCTGTACAGGGTGTCTCAAAAAAAACCAAAATCATTGAAATAACGTATTGTTCGAATTTCAATGCCGTAACACAAAGGATTTTGACAGGGTGAGTAATTTGTTTTAAAAAATTAAAATATCTTTGTAAAGTGAACGTTTGTTTGCTCATGGGAATTTAAAAATGCTTCGTAAATTCGTGGGTTTAGTACTTTATGCCTGACATAACAAGTTTACGCTGAGTATTACCATTCATTATAGCAGTTATGTCAATCTTTTATGCACTCGTGGGATTAACTTAGTGCTAGGGCATTGAATATCGAACAATACGTCAATTTCAATGATTTTGGGTTTTTTTGAGACACCCTGTATAATGACATCAAGTTATGAAAACAACGCCTACTTCTGTCGTAATTGCCCATGGTCATGCCTCACGGTGTCATATTAAAAACAAAATTAAATATTTAGCATTTTAGGCGGTATTTATCTAAACCCTGCATGACCGTCTATATTGAATATAAAGACGATTAGCAAAATTATATCCGTTTCAGTTGCAAAGAAAAAGTCAAATGTTCAGGTATATATAACATAACATAACATAACATAACATAACATAACATAACATAACATAACATAACATAACATTTATTGCATTCCCATTTACATAGATGGTATTGCATACAATACAACAATAAAAAATACAACAATAAAAAATAAATAAAATAAAAGACCCAATTATTTACCATTTTACCTATATAACTTATAACAAGGCTAACTAATTATACGCTAATTTTTTACATATAAATGGGTCAATATTTAATATTAAAAAGGAAGAGTATTTTATCTTTTTTATTAAGATTAATATAACGGGGATATTTCAGAATAATATCGTTATAAAGTTTTTCTCTTTTCAATTTATTAAGAGTGCATTCGAGAAGAAAATGAGTTTCGTTTTCTATATCTTTGGATTCACAATTTTGACATATTCTTAAATTTTCGGGGATTTTGGGAAGACAATGTCTGCCAGTTTCAATTCTTAGATTATGATTACCAGATCTCAATTTCGCTAAGGATTGTCTATATGTCGTGTTTTTTTTATTAAATCTAACTGAATTGATTTTCTTTGATTTGTTTTAAACGATGAGTAAAACACGAGTTTCCTATTAAATCTTATCATGACTGCTTGATGAATTTGTAATGCATTAGTAATTTTTTATTTTATTTAATTGATTTATAGCAACCCATCCAAGGCGAAGATGATAATTTTTCCCGCCAAAAATAATTTTTCGCTCTGACTCCGTCTGAACGCACCTTTGTCAGCATGTGAGAATATATTGTTAACCACTACATGAAAAAACACATTAATACAAAAGTATATAGGCTATAATCTTTACTTTATATAGTTGATATCACTCCAAATTATGATGGTATACATGCAAATTAATTGCCTTGTAAATGTCATAACAAATTTGAACTGGTTCGATATCTTATGACTACATTCTCATGATGAGATTGTTTACTTACTATATTGTGCAAACAGGATATTATTTTCACAGATTAAGACCTTCTTAAAAAACTATTAACCACTTGCAGTGTTTGCTTTATAATCACTTTTAGCCTGGGGATTATTGGACATACCGATCCTTTGACCATAGTGGTTTGTTCGAGCTTTAAAGGACAATGGCAACAAAATTTTTTATTGTCTATATTAAAAGTGTTGCTTCATCTAACTATAAATGATATTAATACCGTGTCAAACATTTCTGTTCAGGAGTTATATGCATGTTATTTCACTGTTAATTTATATATCGTCCGCCATCTTGGCTCGTATTCCCGAAAAATTTTCTTTTGGGTAACATGACCTACATGTATGACGTAAATGGCAGGATAGAATCGAAACAACCAGAAGTACCAGATAACCAGATTATAGTTATTTAATATACACCGTGGTATCTCTTGTCTGGGAAAATCCCATACTGATCTTGAATGTCAATTTACTAATTTGCGCAATGTCTAACATAAAGCAAAGATATGCCGCAGCACACGAGAGAAACTTGCTGAGCTAACCGCTTCGTGTGGTGGCTAGTTCAGCATGTTTCTCTTGTGTGCGGATTTAACTTCTTGAGGAAAACATCTACCATGTTTGATATTTTTCACCTCGCGAGAGGAAAATCTCAACGTCTGCGGATGTTGCGCGCTTAGTGCTGAGCTGCTTGAATTAACTAGCCAATGAGAACCCATAGTTTCTTCACGTGACTTTGGCAAAACGGCGATGCAAACGATCTTATCAACGATGATGCCGTTGAGTAGTTTTCCCAACGTGTGCGGTGAAAATACATAGCTGAGCTAGTCACGAGGCGCTTAGCTCAGCAAGTTTCTCTCGTGTGCTGCGGCATGGCTCAGATTTTAGCCTGTTTATTATGGTTTCCGAACGATTCATGAAGAATACAGCCCTCAGGAAATAAATCCCGATTTTATATAACAATGGGGTTGGGAATGCGTGTGCATAGCTCGTGTAAAGCTGGATAATTGAACTTTTAATTGAACATCAGGGTGATGCTTTATCCATAGTATACCTGCAAATAATCATGGATAAGTACCAGAGAGCTACATTTGGCTATGGGTACCATTCAATGAGTTTGCAAGATTTGTCTTTTGCGCATGTCAATGCGTCGTCACCACACCGCTTCGTAACGGCCAATAAGATGGCGAATCGCTGTCGGAAAAGATGGCGTGACTAACGCATGAAATAAAACTGTATCATGACGGTGTTATGATACAGCAGTTCAATGAAACTTGTGTAGGCGTGATAATTGGCATACATACCAAGGTGAAGTGTATGAGAAACTAAAATAAAGCAAAATTCCAAGTTTATTAAACTAGCATGCGTTGAAATCAGTTGTTGACTTGTTCAGTCTTGCAGTAATTTTTAGTGGTGGTATTACTTGATCTTTCAGCTCTTTACTGAATATTCTAATGATGATTTTGTCCTCGTAAAAATCCATGGGATGTTTGGCATTTCACGAGGTATTTTAAATCTTCTCTCCGTAGCCTTCAACAAAGCCCTCAACCTGTTAAAATGTTATCAATTTGCACAATGTAATGGCGGTCACCCTGTATTAATAATAATTTAAGCGGTAACTTGCGAAATTCTTGAGGTTCAATACATCCTTTTCATTTGTATGATGCATGTATATCATTATACGATCTTCCTTGAATACTATATGATACATATATCATCATACGGGTACAATTTACGTATGATGTACATTGATAACCTGACACTCATCCCGACCCCCACCGTAACCCTTCCTAATTAACCGAAGACATCTAACCCACCCGCCCTGAATGAAAATCTGTAGATCGATTTTCTTTTCTGATAATTTTGTTATCGCCCACAATGTGACTTTTCTTTCTACATTATGTATCTTGCATGTGTATTTATGGTTGTGTATGTACATGATACACTAGTACTCGATCATATATGCATGGTATATATACATATTATATCTGTAGTATATTATTAGTATATGCATCATATCTAGTATATTATTAGTATATTATTAGTATATGCGTCTTCGTTGTAAATTTGTTTATTTAGTTCAGGACCTTTCTGAAAATCAATTTGTGAGAAAGCTTCCTGAAAATAAATATTAATTAAAAAAAAAAACCAGCAAGAATGTACACGTATGTCTTGTCAATCCTCACTCAGAGAATTTGCTTATATAAGCAAATCCCACTTTCATCATGTTTCTTTCTTATCGTCGCCGCTCTAGACTGAAGGAGTTCACTACAACAGTTCACCCAATAGTCATCGCTGACGGAGGCCACTGGCCACAATGTCAATCCTTATTATTAATGTAGTTTTGGCTGTAATCTTCCAGTGCTGTATTGTTTTGCCTAAGACGCATGCAGCAAATACAGTCAAACCGAAGAATTGTCCTCCTGGAACATACTACTCTGGTGTCTCATTCATCACAGGGCTTCCAGCATGCTACGCGTGTCCAAATACACTAGAAGACTGTAAAAACGAGAAAATAGCTGATGTAAAAACGTGTCAAACGAGTTGCGGTAAGCGAATTTTCTCATCAATATGTGCGCGCGGCCGCGTGCCTTTTATATTTGTATTTATATTAGCAGTAAATGCGTCTATATGAAATATTGTGAGTGCACTCTCGCGCTTTCGCTCGTCTTAATTTGCGTCTTAAAGAGTGATTTTACACAGCCCATTTATATATTTACTCGGTTTCAAAAACGGACGCCTCGAATTTATCAGGTTGTGTTCAACAATCATTAGACGTACTATACATTTATATGTATTATAACTAGTCAACTTGATTGCATCACACTGCAGGGGAAATATTTTATTGGTATCATTGTCTAAATATATGTTTCATAGTAGTACTGAACTATATAATAGTTCTATGTCAGATCGAACTGCCGAATTAGTCAGTTTAGTCGTTTATTATTAGATTTATGCGTTAATTAAGATGTTTCTATGATTCTATGATTCATTCATGGCCACGAAATCAATTATCGCTTGAACCGCATGGCCACTGGCACTGCGCCTGTGAAATATCATACCTCGTTTGTCGTTTCACATGCCGGAATCCTCTCTTATTTTTGGCCTGGGATAGTTCAATTCACGAATTGAAATTGTCCTGAAAAAATAGCACGGGATTTATTAACCATGCAAGCATTCAATACTACCGTGACTTGTTTATTGCACTCATGCTGATGTTTACTTTTTACCATTATTGGCCTTGGCTTTTACGCCGGCTGTATACGCTTATATGGCCAAGCTAGGACAAGGAGTTTGTTGTGCAAACAGATCGTAGCGGATCACAAGTTATGGTCTTATAGAACTTGTAACTTAGAAAAGACTAAGTACACAAGTAACCAATCGATCTGTCTGTGCTCGAATGACTAAGAAAATGCTCTTTGTCTCTGAATTGGGTCTTAGTCTTAGATCGTAGCTACATATATATCATACTTTATATAAAAGTAAATTGAAGTACAACGACTCGGCAAGTTCCATTGGGCATTTTTATTTTATTTTCATCGTCGGATATTACAATTTGAAACTTAATATACACAGGAAAAGCCGACTTGTATATCAGCTCTGTTCAATAATATTCTTTCTATATTCCTTTTGTTTAATTTAGCGAATGTCTATGACTCCTCAAGTACAACAAACCCTTCCTTTTCCAAAGGAACGTTTCCCACCACTCAACTTCAAACTAGAACAACAAAGTCAAAGGGTAAGTCTAAAAGTTGATTTATCTGTATATATATGACTTTACAATCAATCAAAATATCGTGTGCCGGAAACTCAGCCGGAACTCTAGTTTAATTTTGCCGATCATGGAAACTACTAATCTTGAAGTTGATTTCCTTTGTCGGCAGTCGGCTTTGATTCTTTTCCAAAGGACCTTTTCACAACTCCACAAACCAAAGATCAACCGAAACTATAACACCATCTATATATCTTGCGAACAACCAAATGAAAAACAATGAGGAAGACAATTCACTTGTGCTTCAGGCTTTTCTGTTGGCACAATCACAAATTACATAGGCCTATTTTAAATATAATTAGGAAGTGATTATTTTTCCGGTCTCAGAAACCAACGGCAACGAGGAAATGTAGAAAGAAATCGAATTTCAAAACATGCAAATATGCTATTTTCAATTGAATATTTAAACTCCTGAAACAAGGCAAGTTCAGAAATAGATCTTTTGGTAATTAATAACACAAAAAAGTCTAAAATGAAGCTAAGAGAAAGTTCGATTTTAAATATTTGATAAATATATATTAAAGCTCATTAAATTATGACTAAATATGAGTAATTAAAAATAGTACCATGAAGGTTTTTCCATGGTTTGATGGGGTCCATACAATGCAGTGACTTTATTAGTAGAACCTTTGTAAACTTGAAAGGGATGACTCAGTGCTGCTATTTACATATATCCTTGGTTTGTGGTGTTCACCGATGATTTTTAAAGGGTACCTTTGTCTCATTTAAAAAGCAAAAACTGCAGTTATATACTAATCTTTCTATATGTTTTTGTTTAATTCAGCGAACTCGATCCACTCATCAAGTACAACGAGCCCTTCCTTTTCCAAAGGAACATTTCCCACCACATGGATTCGAAGAAAAACAACAAAAGGTAAGTCTAACAGTTGATTTATCTGTATATCACTGGAATGTTTTTCAAAGTCCTAATTGGCTATATGAAAATAGTATAAATCTTAGTTGAATATAGTCGGTATATAGGGAAATCCAATTTTCATGCTAATTGCAGTTTCTATACTATGGTTATTGTATATATTGGACTAGTATGGATATACTATGGAGTCTATGGATTTAGTGATACAATTGAAAATTCCATATAGGCATAGTATGAATTTCACTAGTTTTTTCCAGTGCATATATACGGCTTTATAATCAATCAAAATATGGTCTGCTGGAAACTCAACCCTTATCTTCCTTTGATTCCTTTCCAAAGGGCCTTTTCACAACTCCACAAACCAAAGGTCAACCGAAACGACACCATCTATATATCTTGCGAACAATGAAGAAGACAAGTCACTTGTGGTTGGGTTAGCTTCAGGCTTTTCCGTACTTATATTCATAATTGTCGTCATCTTTATATATTGGTACGGCAGTCGAAAACGAGGCAGCAAGATAGTGACCACCCACGAATTAACATCACAGACTGGAAATGACGGGTAAGTATATGATTTGATATGATTTAATTTTAACACAGAATGTTGCTCAATTCACCATTCATGATACACGCGTGCTCGACAACTAACGCCTATGGATTGTTTTCAGGGGCGTAGCTACAGGGGTGTGTGTGTGTGGGGTGTAACAGTCATTTTGTATTATACGCGCGGGAAATTTTCCCGAAGTGGTAACCATTACAAAATGACTGAAAATTACAAACTTCGCAAGGTTATATTAATTTTATCCACATTTTACAACATTTCGCAAAGAAACTTTGGAATATTACTAATTTTGTGATGCTCTTTCAAGCTGTGATGAAATTTTTGTTTAGGCTAGTTGAGATAAAAATTTTGGAAAAGAGGTAACCGTTTCCCGCTCGTAATACAAAATGACTGAAAATTGCAAATTTTGCAAGGCTATATTATCCGCATTTTACAACATTTCGCAACGAAACTTTGGAATATTACTAATTTTGTGATGCTCTTTCATGCTGTGACGAAATGAACCAAGGTGGCAAAAAGTGCCTCTAAAAAGAGTTGATGGCAACTTTATGTGAGAAGCTGGTAACAGGCATTTTCTTATAGTTTAAGCCTTGGTGAACAAGACTGTGCATGTGCATGTATTACCATTTTTGATTTTTGCTTTATAGCCGAAAATTTGAGAATTTTAAAATTTTGCCTATTAAATTACTACGAGTGTCTACGATAGCAAAAAAATGTAAAATCTCATGTTCTCTTATATAGGAAAACTAAACTATACCACTAGAAAGATCGCAAAAAACTATGTATAAGACAATTAAGCGAGTTCTACGTTTTTCGAATCCTATTTCAAGTTTTTAATGCTAAAAAATGCGGAAATGACCAAATTAATGCTAATAAGTACCCATTTTGCCAACTTTAATTACCATCTTTAATTCAAAAACGGCTTGAAAAATCACACTAGTCACTTAATTGTCTTATATATAGTTTTTTGCGAACTTTCTAGTGGTATAGTTTATTTTTCGTATATATAAGAGATTTTACATTTTTTTTTGCCATCATAGTAATTTAATCTATGAAGCAAAAATCAGAAGTGGTAACACACACAGTCTTGTTCACCATGCAAGGTTTGAACTATAAAAAATGCCTGTTACCAGCTTCTAATATAAAGTTGCCATCAAGTTGTACAAAATGATGACATGGCCAGCCGTCTAGATGAAATCCCAATTGAATCGTCAGTGCATGCACTAAAGTTTTCCAGTTGAGTTTTTGCACGGAACTTCCATTATTTTTAGCATAATTCGTGACTTCCCAGTACCGGAACAAGAGACCACATCTCCGCCGATTCTAGAATCCATGGCCAACCGACGATTATCAGATCAATTCTACGAAGAATCATCGCAGGAAAATTATAATTAAAGTGCTATAAATATAATAGCTTGTCACTTGCAAGAGCCCATATAGTAAACTTGAACTCTATACAAGAAATGTAATGAGTAATGTATCTTACTGACTAATTTGTGTATTATTTTGGTATTAAATATTATTTAGATATTGAGATGACTATGCATTCTTTGAAAAAAATAACCGTAGGCGTTTAGGAAGTATATCCAAATTTGAAAACTGGTAATGGAAATATGCCAGCTTCATCAAATGAACCAAATAATTTCCCCAGAGCAGTTGGTCCAGCTAAAGTGGATTTTCAAAATCTGCCTAAATATACAGTATCAACATTGTATATAGGAGGGAGGGGGATAAAGTATAAAAATTAAAAGTCACGAATTTTTTTCAAAGATTGCAGATTGGATTGAAAGCTGTAAAGCTCTTGATTTATTTAAAAAATGTACTAAAAAATGAAATATACTAAAATTAGATTGGGTTCATATCCCTATAGCTGCCTCGGGAGTCGTGGCTAGGTTGTCTGTTGTCTTTGATTGAAAACAACAGTAATTTAATTCTTACTACATTATAATGTAGCGTTCTGACTTGGAGGTGAAATCAACAAAATCACACATTATAAAATCCAAGTAAAATATATTTAAGTCTAAAATATGCAGCATATACTGTATATCCATCATGATACTGCATGTAGGTCATAATTCATGATATTGTCATATGTCTATTTAATATAGTTATATTAAATGCCTTTGCAACCAGATCTAGACCTCTTTTTACGTATTGACAAACTGCGGTAAACCGCCTTTCACTTTGCCCATCATTTTCTTATCTCACATTAATTTCTTATTTTTTTTATGATTTTTTATGTGTGTAGTATTTGGGTCATTCTGAGATGAAATATAAATTTATTTTTAATGTAAGAATTCAAAACTTCACCTTGAAATTTTACTTTTTCCATACCGATAAGGCCATAAGTTGTTCACTATGATGTCATTTTAGCAGCGAAAAAGGCTAGTTTATTTGCAATTAATTAATGACATCGTAACTGACAACTCTGACAGTGAAAAAGTTGATCAAGTAAGTTGTAATTCTTTACTGTAATTTAAAAGATATATTTAATTTTTTCTAAAAATGACTCAAAAATTATACTTTAGTTAAACTCAGGTAACACTATGCATAAAAAAGGAAATTAATGGCAAATGTTATTCGTATTGTTATTACATATGGTTACATGTTCGGGAAAGCTGGCCATGCTCATAATTTCTGTGGGAATGCCTTATATATAACATCACTCTGTCTCTAATTGCATTAAAATAATTGCCTCTCGTTACAAGGCAGTACTTAACAATTATTCGCCGAAGGCGAGGTGATTATCGGTGAATAAAAACCGAGACGAAGTCGAGGTTTTTATTCACGATAATCACCGAGCCTGAGGTGAATAATTGTTTTAGTATAATTTCATAGGTGATTATTTGGAAAAAATAAGAAAATACACATTTCTTCGTCATTTAATTGACAAAAAGGCTTCGGCCGCCATTTTGAAAATCGCTTAGGTGATTATCGCGTAATAATCACCTCAACGGCAACCAATCAGCGTGGAGAATTTTCAATAATCACCTATGTAATTATACTAAAAAATGTTATTGTCTGTAGTTAACAGAAACTATAGACAGGAAGTACATAACGCAGTCCACAATGAAAAGCAACGTCGCAAAGAAACCACAAATCTAAAAAATAAAATGAATATTGTATAATTTGTTGTTTGGGTACCCCACCCTCTGTCGAGGGGCGAGGGGTACGAGGATGGGATTTACTTCTGACACCATGCAGGCGACGTCCAATAAGGTGGACAAGGAGGTTAACTTCCAATTATTTTTTATAAATATTTTAAGAGGAAGCAACTTCATCGAAAGGTGCTTTTCAAGGAGGTACTCTATATATACATATATACATACACATAATACATTATGTAAAATATTAACGAAATTCAATATCCAATAATCAATCGTCTCAATAAAAAAAATGATACATAAAGTCCAGTCCGTATGGTTCTATACCCAGTTAACTGCAAGATAGTTCTCCCATTGTAGTTCATCCTCCTGACAAACACACACAAAGACCGACTGGTGAAAACATCATTTTAATGCGGCCATGTTCGATACATCGGTCTCTCTTATATGTGACATGTATTCGCCACTTATTATATAGTAGAGAGTGAGATACTGAAAAATGCGCAGTGAGATATTTTCCATATCTTCACTAGTTCCATATCGATTACGTGACTATTTCCAATTTGCTTTTGAGCGTGGAATTTCATTTTTGTTTGCGACTATATAATATAAAACAGAACATTACACGGTGGCTTGAAGATATGACTTTTATATCTTCTCGTGTTAGAAACAATATTTTACTCGCTAGCTGCGCTCGTTCGTAAAATATTGTTTTCACCACTCGAAGATAAAAGTCATATCTTCGCGCTGCCGTGTAAATGTCCTGTATATGTATTTTGTGTGAGACAAGATATGTCACACTGTAAACAAAACATGCACGTGAACAGAACGTGCTTGACTGTCACTTCAATACAGACGTAAAAATTTCACATCTTGTAACAAGTCTGCCAACAAGCCGTCAACAAGATGTATTCGCACTGCTTGTCACAAGTTGTCAACAGGTTTGGAATAACTTGTACATGTTGACAACTTGTAACAACCTTGTCGAAATTATCAGACCTGTTGCAAGGTTGTTCTGACAAGTCCGTTACATGCTTGATATAACAAAATTGTTACAACCTTGTGTTGACAACCTTGCATTTGTAACATCCTTGTTATATCATGGCTGTAATAAACTTGTTAGCACAGTCTTGTAACAAGGCTGATAATGCCATCAAGCTTGTAACAAGTTGTTAACAGCTTGTTTCAAACTTGTTACAACAAACTGAGAACAAGCAGTGCGAACACAACTTGTTTTACGTGTGTAGTCGGATATGGGAAAACGTAACTTACCACACCAGCAATCAAATAACCACAACTGTGTAATATATCACATGCTGACTCATATCTCAAATCTTTTCTTGAAGTATCTAACGTATCCACGGTTTTTGTTAGCAATGCGACAGAAACAAGTAAAATCAAAGCCCAAATTGCATGTACTGTAAGAACCTAGAATGAAATGGCAAGAAGGATGACTTTTCGCTCTTGCTCGAGGCATGTAGTAAAACACTGACTACCGGAACACCACCGGAACACCGGAACACCACCATTTTGTTTGGGGTTAGGGTTTGGGGTTAGGGTTAGGGTTGGGGGTTAGGGTTGGGGTTAGGGTTAGGGTTGGGGGTTAGGGTTGGAGTTAGTTAGGGTTAGGTGGTGTTCCGGTGGTGTTCCGGCGGTGTTCCGGTGTTCCGGTAGTCAGTGTTTTACTACATGCCCTTGCTCGAATCAGCAACACTGGGAAAAATTTTGAAAATCCATAGAAGGCCATAGAATGGAAATTGTATGGACCTTTATTGGAAATAGAATGGATTAGTTGATTATCCATCATAATTGTATATTTCCATAGTATGGATATACAGGGTGTATAAAAAAAAACTGAACAGATTTGAAATTGCTCTCAATTTTCGCAAAACAGCTATTAGTATCCAGTTTTTGATATATATATATATATATTATTAGTATCCAGTTTTTGATATATATATATATATATATATATATATATATATATATATATATATATATATATATATATATATATATATATATATATATATGAAACAGACTGTTGTGGTTTTTTGAGGTAAAACGAAAAACTATATATATATATATATAGTTTCTTTGGGTACATATAATGTAGAATAATGAAAAAATTTCTCGAACTCAAATTTTGTAAACCAGGGGTGTGTGGTTTTTCTATCAAACTAAAAATGGCTTGCGCACAAAATTTAAAAGCTTTAATCGTATTTTGAGTTCATGGATGGAAAGTTTGTTGGGTTTTTAATTACTGTACAAAATTTCAGATAATTTGTTTTAGTTTAAGTTAACTATTCATTAGTTAGTTAAAGGTAACTATTCATTTTTCCCTAAAATTTCAGTCTTTCGCATGCTTAATTAACGCCTTTACCTAACTTGCATATTGCTGACATAAGCAAATTAGGCAAAAGCATTAATTAAGCATGCAAAAGGCTGATTTTTTAGGGGAAAATATAAGTTTGCGTGAATAGTTAAAGGGCTTAAACTAAAGAAAATTGTCTGACATTTTGTACAGTAATTAAAAACCCAACAAAGTTTCCATCCATTAACTCAAAATACAATTAAAGTTTTTAAATTTCGTTTGTTGGTTGGATAAAACACACACCCCTGGTTTACAATATTTGAGTTCGAAAATATTTTTTTTCATTATTCTACATTTTAAGTACCCATATATCAAAAACTGGATGCTAATAGCTGTTACCTACCATATATCAAAAACTGGATACTAATAGCTGTTTTGCGAAATTGAGAGCAATTTCAAATCTGTTCAGTTTTTCATATACACCCTGTAGTATCGAAATAGTATGGATATACTATAGATTTAGTGGTGCAAGTATGGATTTCATATTTTTTCCCAGTACAACCTGTATTTATAGTATGCACTATATACATGCGTACAATGTGTTTTCCAGCCCCTTTCTCGTGTACTTTAGTAAGTAGTATGGGTATCATTGCTACGACAATAAGGAGTCCTCCGCCGGTAGCAAACAGAAAAAGTTTAAATCTTGCATATTCTCCCAAATCGTTGGGATCTTCGCCGCTTTCGGAGATTTCCTTGACCTTATGCTGACTGTGCATGATATCTTTCAGGCCATGTATCACTACTACTGTTGCTGCCGTCAGTGATATCTACGGGAAAAGATAATCTCAAACTCATTAAAAGTTCATGACTTACGAGTAAATAAGCCAACCATTGATTGCTTTATTTTGCTTACATGATAATATTGGATACCGGGTGAAGTATATTGATCTAGGACTGGATCAAAATTAATTCACCTTACTTTAAGCAATGATTTATTCGTATGAGATGTGATTTCAAATATATATAATCCAATTCGGTCTGGACTCAGTAGATTTCAAGACTCAAGTCCTTTCATTTTGATCCTTGATCAAATTGTGCGGACTTGAAATCTAGTCCAGTCCTCATGAGGGCCCCCTATACTTTTTGCGTGAAGCGTGAAGGGCTTATTTTACTTAGCCGTGAAACGTGATCGGGCCCCCTATAATTTTTGTGTGAAGCGTGAAGGGCTTATTTTACTTAGCCGTGAAACGTGATCGATGATTTTCTTAATCCGTGACTCGTGAAAAGGCAAAATATTTTTACGTGAAAGCATATTATGAAGAGGTATAGGGGGCCCTCTCCTCATGGTCGTCCTCATTTCCTTTGGGAGCCACTATATCATGGTCTCGGTCATTGAACTAAAATATATTTCAATGGTCGCGGTATAATAACAAAACTGAAAACAATAACAACAATCTCATGAATATTAATCACAATGTTCTTACAAATTCGAGAATCTTTAATACGATGGAGAATTTCCGGTACACCATTTTCAATACCTAAAGGTTGAAAAATATGGCTGTATAGTGAGAATCATCAACATGTTCATATATAGCGTTTGAGAGATGTGGGGTTTGGGAGACGGGCAAGCTGTAACATCGTTCGCCGTTTTATCCGTTAAGTGTATCTCAGAATTTCACGAGGTCCAAAATTTTAGTAAAGAAAGCAAGCACTGACTTAACACTTGACAAAATGTAAAAAGCCTTGATACAGAATATATTGAAGAGAAAAGCTTTGCCCGAAATGCTAATGAGTAATGGAATACAAAACCGAAAATTAAAACGTCGATCTATATAGAAGACCATTCACTGATTTACTGTAAGATTGCTTATATTTCGCGGATTTTATTAAAACTGCTCGTCATTCTTTAAGTCCATAATTAACTATATATATTATATATTACTACAAACCTTTTCAAATTTAAGTTGTCCTGTGAGTTTCTTTATGCTCTTGTAGCCTTGCTCTCAAAAGAGTTGTAGTCAAGTATATGCTATATACAGCCTATACACTTCGATTCTCCTTGGCTTAAGCGGAATGATATATCAAACAATAAAACCTTTATTTTAAAAGAATTGAATTATTTTTGACAATGAATGTTCGAATATTTGGGAAGCAATTATACAAAGTCTTAATTAAAAATTGGCAGCTATAGAAATCTTCCCAACCGTAATAAAATATAAAGACTTCTTGGCGAGCTTCAGCGCTATTATAAGACTATTAATTATCGTCCAAGTGCTGAAGCCACTCGAGGCCTCCGT